TAGAGATATTGAAAGCAGGAATTGAAAGCTGAAATGAAAATTGAGAGAAAAAATATTGAATGCGGCAATTGAGAGTAAAAATTCAAGTATTCACTTTTCAGTTAAAGAGACTTCAAATAAAATTGAAATATAAATTGAATGAAAAGCTGAACATTAAATAAAATTCATTTAAATTTTATATTGATATTAAAGTATTGAACAGACATTGAAGAAATCTTGAATGAAATGAGAACAAGTTATATGAATATGAAAAGCTTAACTAATCCTAGCTTAGTGCATATTATTTGATAGGTCTTACATAAGCCATGGAGAGACTAATAGGCTGCGCTTTGCTGATATTTTAAAGTATTTCTATTTATATTTTTAAGTTCCCTTTAAAGAAAATAAAATAAGAAACACACAAAAATTTACACCAAACTATATACTCCATTTCCAACTGTATACCCTGTAATTGTAACTGCTTCCACTCCAGTGTTGTTTTCTCACAAACTCAAAATGCGATTTGTTGTTGTTGTCGTTGATGTTGATGTTGTTGTCTTCTCCACCTACTATAACTGGCCTTGCTCCCCCTCTCTCACTCTCACTCATTCTGGCTGTTTGTCCCTTTTTCTTTCTCTCTTTATCATTCTATCTATCTCATCCAGCTTTTAAGCTCTCCCTCGCTCCTGCACTCTCTCTCTCTCTCTCTCTCTCTCTCTCTCTCTCTCATTTGTATATCTCCCATATTTGTACATATTCGGAGAGTAGAGCAGAGTTCCCTCTTACACTCTTGCGCTAGCTCTCACTCTCTCTCTCTCTCTCCTTCTGTCTCTCTCTCTCTTTCTGCCTCTCAGTCCAACGCACACTTGCACCACTCACACACACACATCACTCACACTCACTCACTCACTCACTCACACACACAGACACATACATCGATACGCTTTCTCTTTCTTTTGTTGTACAACTCTCTTTTTTCGTTTTCGTTTTCGTTCTCTTCTGTCTCTTCGGCAAATATCATTCGTCAGCACCCCGAACAGCAAACGGCGCCACCTCGCCAAACATTTTACCAATTACAATCAACACAACCACCATCACCACCAGCGGCACCATCAGCTCCACCCGCATCATCAGCAGCAGTCGAGATCCCATCCGCACCACAAACGTCAGCAGCAGCAGTTGCAGTCGCAGTCGCAGTCGCACCACCGTGCTGCACCACCCAATCGGTTGCCCAGCTATGCGACAGCCACAGCCACCAGCGCCACCAGCTATGCCTCGACAGCGCAGCTGACGCGCGGCAGCAGCAAGGGTGGTGCAGGTGGTGCGGGTGGCGGCCTGCTCGGCGGCTACCACATGCGACTCTTTGGCGATGGCTATGGCAGCATTAGCTCCAGCACGCGCTGCGAGGCGCCACCATCGCTGTGGTACAGCGTCCTCGCGCTGCCCTTCGAGGACCAGAAGCTGGCGAGGCGGGAGCTGAGCACCTATGGGCGTGGCTATAGGGCGCGAGCGGGCCTCTTTAGCAGCAGTCACATGTGAATGGACGAGCGAGCGAGCGAGCGAGAGAAAGAGAAAGATAGAAACAACCTAAGAACAATGAGCGAGAGGAAATTAGCTCAAACCAAAGAAGTGAAATGATGATAAATAGAAATGAAACGAAACGATGTGAAACGAAACGAAACGATGTGAAATGAAGCAACCAAAACCGAAGACTACCTGCGAACGTAATGTGAACGTGTGCCAAAGACGAACTACAATCAATCAAAGCAATTCAATCAAAGCAATTCAATCAATCAAATCAGTCAATCGAAACGAAAGAGTGTGCCTTCAATCAAACCGCAACACGGCCATATTAACACACAAATGTAAGCAGCCAACAACAAGAACAACAACAACAATACACATACTCTCCACACAATATACAAAACACGCTCAGTCAACAGGCTCAATCAATCAATCAGTCAATCAATCAACAATAGCAAACACATTTGGAGCATCGGAAATGAGTGCTGTGAGGGCTGCCCGCCATTTGCTGTTATCAGTCAATCATTAATCAATCAATCGATCAATCAATCAATCAATGAATCACTCAGTCAATCAAACTCAAGCTGTTGTCGGGCCACACCCACACATATATACACACACACACACACACACACACTCATACACAATCATACACTCGCCTGCACTTTCTCTCTGTCTTTCTCTATATTTCTCTTCGTCTGCCTATCTCTCTCATTCATACACTGCACGCACTTTCCGTCGATCTCTTTCATCTCATTTGCATTGCTCACTTTGTTGTATGTTATTTGTATCTAATCTCCTGCACACTCTATTTCCCTCTCTCTCTCAATATCTCACTCACTATCTCTCTCTCTCTCTCTCTCTTTCTCTGTCTTTGTGTGTTCTGTCTTTCCTTGTCTGTTTTGTGTAACTAACACCCTTTAGTTGTGTTCCTCGTAGCGTCCTCTCGCACTTGTCGCTCTAACTTTGAACGTTAACTAATCAAAATATTTCTTCTATTTCTCTCGTTTTTTTTTGTCTCTCTCTCACTCTCGGTATCTTAGAAACCGCACCACACAGCATTATCGCCATCGTGCCTCACCCGACTGCAACACGGTCGCCAGCTTCGATAGCTCCACCTCCGGCTCCCGCAATGGCCTCAATAGGTTTGTTACTCACTCAAAACCACTCGAAATGCTCACAGCTATAGCGTCTCTCTACCTCTCTAGATATTACCGCCAGGCGTGGGAAAACCTGCACGAATCCGCCTCAAAGAACAGCTCACACAATGCGCTGCGCCGCAAGGAGACGCTCGATCCGCCCAGCATGACGCGCTCTCGCGACAATTTGCGTGACAATATGCAACGCTCCCGGGAGAATCTGGATAGGTGAGTGCTCTTCTACTATTGCCATCAATGGATAAACTGTCAAGTCAGTTTATGCTCAGTGTTTCGGAAGTGAGCTGTATAGAAGTACTTGTTAAAGTGCATGTTAAAGTTAAATTGAGGACATCTCTATAAATGCAAAGAAGTAGATGTCAAAGTAGTTGCCAAAGTACACGTTAAATTCAAATTCAAGTATGTAGTTCCACTAGATCTATCTACTACTACTTTAACTGTCTGTCAAATTGCCTTTCAAAGTGCATGTCATAGAGAATAACAAGCTGAATGACAAACTACCTCTTACTGCAGACTAAATTTCAATTCCAGAACTATCTAAATACACATTAAATTCGAAATATAATGCTGGATATGCAACTTCATGTTAACGTATATGTTAAAGTACATTCCAAGCTTTCAGTTAAGAAATAAATATTACTATCTAAAATAAACATTAACAGACTGACAAATCACTAATCTCTGTGTTAAACTGTATGGCAAACTGCATGTTAAGCTCTCGAGTACGATTCACGCTGATTCACAAAATAAAACTAAAATTAACTTTCCATTGACAGATGCGGCCGGGACAACTACGGCATGCGCGACAACTCGGAGATGGTCGTCTCGGATGTGTGCCTGAAGGGCGAGAAGAAGCGCCATCATCACCATCATCACAAGAGCAGCTCACGCAACGGCGACTATCGCGATAGGGATCAGTCCGCCGGGCGGCGCGAGCACCACAGGCACAGCGGCGGGGGCGGTGCCGGCGGTGGTGGCGGACACTATTGACCAACCATGATCATCACCATCAGCGTGGAGGAGCAATAGAAACGATAGCAACTATCGAAAGCTATCGTAGCAATCGCAACAATCGAAGCGAACGGAGCCTGAACAAATTTCTATTATTATAATTTTTTTTTTTTGCTTGCAATTTTTTGTCGGATTTCGAATTGAGCTTTCGATTGTAGTTCAAAACTTTCTGTTTATAGCAAGAAACAAAACAAAAACAACAAAAAATACAAAAAAAGGAAAAAAAAAGAGAAAGCGGAAGAAAAGCAGAAGTGGGAGATACATATTAGAGCCTAAGGAATTCTTGAAACTTTTGCAAAAGTCAATAGCTACTATATACATATATACATATTTATATCTTTATATATATATATATGTGTACTCGAAGATCCCTATATATAAACATAACTAGTTTTCGATTGAGTCCCCCTCTCGTTTTTAGTTAAAATTTTTTATGAATTAGTTGATAAAAAAGAAACAGAAGAAGCGAAGGTACATGAAGGCGAGGCGAGGCGTGGCGCGGTTTTTTATATAACTTAGTATTTAGTTGAAGAGCAGAGTAAGAAGATGCACCGTAAATAATATACCGAATTCAACCGATCCTTAGACCACAGCAGAAATTATGTGCAACTTGGTTTAGCCTAAAGCGCGAAAGCAATTAGGCCAAATCGACTTGCGCATAGTCGCAACTTCTTACTTAGTTACGTAGCATACCCTAGAGAACCCCAACCATTGCTCACAAATCACAAGATGAATAAATAATATTGTAGTACGCGTGCCATTGAAGGCAAGAAAAGCAAACGACAAAAAATATTCCACTAAAATATATTCGAAATCAATTTACATTTATCTCTGCACTTAGTTCCATTTTACACGCACACACATACATTTTCTTTATATAGTTTACTTTTTTCATATGTGTAATTAACGTGTTTTGTTTTGAGTGCGTAATTTTTTTTTTTTTTGGATTAGGCGAAAGATTTGTGTTTTTTTTTATATATGTATGTATATTGAATGCAAAAAGCCGCTGAGTATGCAATATTATTTGTATTTCGTGCATTATTTCCAATGTAAATAATAATAATTTATTTCATAAATAAAACAATGATCATTTTAACTAAATAGTCTGCTTGTTTGATTTTTGATTTTGTATTTTGAATTGAGCGCCAGTAGCCATTTAACAGCAAGCAAACGAATACAAATTTGAATTACGCGCCTTGGTTACTAGCACGCCACCTATTGTCCAAGAACGTAAAAAGGCGCTGTGCGCTCCAACTAGACTAAGCGCACTCATGCCTGCGCACTATCGATAAATAAAGTTGTCCGATAGGTGACGCCGTAACGTTTGCAACCCTGTTAGCACGCCATGTTTGTGCGACAGCTGCTGTCAAATTGACGTTCGCTTGATTCGCCTCTCTTTCGCTCTTTCTTCTACGAGCGTTCGCCACACAAGATGGTACGTCAACGAAAATTTATCCACGTTCAAAGCCAAAATAAAATCGTCAATTTCTTTAAGCATCCGGGGATATTTTTAAATGAAAACCAAACATATATTTGGTGCAAAATTCGCTCCAAGTGTTTCTACTGAAATTGATAAATTGGCACAACTAATAATAAAGTGCTGCAAAATACTAATTCAACTCTTTGTTTACAGACGAAAGGTACCTCGAGTTTTGGTAAACGCCACAATAAGACGCACACCCTGTGCCGTCGTTGTGGCCGATCCTCCTATCACATTCAGAAGTCCACTTGCGCCCAATGTGGTTACCCCGCAGCCAAGTTGCGTTCATGTAAGTTCACCCACATCCCAACTTCCCCCCTCTCCTATATGGCCAATACTAATTATGTGTCAATCTTATTAGACAACTGGTCCGTGAAGGCTAAGAGGAGGAAGACAACTGGCACTGGCCGCATGAGCTATCTGAAGGTTGTTCGTCGTCGTTTCCGCAACGGATTCCGCGAAGGCACCCAGGCTAAGCCCAAGAAGGCGCAGTCCGGCAAATAGGCGCAAAGCTAACTGGGCTAGCCGCAAACGCTCTAATTAACTACAACAAATTAGCATCAGCAGCAGCAGTACAGTAAAATGCCCAATCATCGGTTGGAGTCAATAAATTTTAATTTTTTTCTTTAAGTGAAAAGATGTGCTTATTTTTTTCTGTGGAATTGTGTAAGAAAAATTGAAATGTATCAGGCTCAAAAGGCGCCGCAACAACAAGTGAAAACAGCTAAAAATTATATAAATGTGCTAATTGAATTTGACTAGTTTTTTTTATTTATATTGATTTATTTTTTTGTTGTGCTCCTTTTTTTTTATTGTGAGCTGCAATTGAGCACCGTGGCTGGCTTTACGCTGGCCGTGCTTCGTTGTTGCGGCACCCTTTTTTGCCATGCTACGCAACCTTCTCTGGCTTACAGCTGCACTGGATTAGCAGAGTCAGAGCTTAAGGGCATGCAAGTTGTGACACGTTCAATAGGAAAACATTTTTGGCTACCTTCCACAACTGTTGCTATGCCTGGAATAATCCAATTGGAAGCATAAGCACATCGCGGCGAATTCTGTTTAATTGTATGTGTGAGCATGTTGTAAAAAGCAATGATGTTGCTGGCTCGCTCGCACTGCCTTGGCGCTTGGAAGCATTTACTGTAATTCAATTGGTGCCTTTGCATTCTGATTCGTTGACAATACCCAGTTGGACAATCGACACTGGATTTAGTGGTTCCCTGGTACTTACTTTGTAATACAGTTTGTCTAGTTAAACAAATCGAACATACTGCTTGTTGTGATATTGTTATCTATTTAGGGAGCTGTATGCCAATTGTATGTATGAAGCAGATAAACGAGAATGGAGGCTTTCTTGTAGTACTATACATATTTCATTTAATACTATACATACATATATGAGTGTTATGCATTTCTATTCTGTCTCAGTGCCTGTTGATGTTCACATTTCGATATAGGTAACTATAATGTATAGCTCATGTTTATATCGTCATTCAAATTTGATTTTAGACGTGTTTCGTATAGTCTAGTTTTCTAGTAAACCTAGGAGGCTAGATCTTTGAGGTATTCTTTGGCCAGGTCCAGTTTTTGTGTTTTTTAGGCATATTCAATATATGTATGCTCTTCGTCAATCTGTTTACTTGTAGTATACACAGTTTGTTAGAGTGGGTCTTGGCAGCAATACGAAACATTTGGCTGAATTAATCTAGTATCAGCTTGTTTGCTCAATTCGGAAATGTGACTTTTAACCTCAAGCTGAATTGCTAGAGCTTATTTGATTTTTTTTTCTTGTCTTTAGATGTAAGTTCAATATTAATTATTATTATTTTCAGTCCAGAAAACTTTTGTATTGGATGATGGGGTGTAATGGCGAATATAATATGAGCCTGTGGACAATTGATGCTAATATTCATTCGCTTGAAGCACCGATCTGATATTTTAAACTGATTCGACAAACGATTATGCTTTTGATCTGAGATATTATCGGCATAGCTATAAATAGTAGGTACGCTGTACAAGGAATGGGGTTGATATTTTAATGTATGCATTCATAACATCTCAGGTACCTTCTTTGCTTGAGCAATTAACCAAAATAATGACTGCTTGCAAGCAGTGCAATTTCATATACGCATGTACGTAAATACCAGGCCACACTTTATGAATTGCGCCCGACAGTAGACTCCACTAAAAACAACAACTCTGATATTGTCAAAAGTACAGTATATGTACGTGCTGCACGATTTTATTAGAGTAGGAGAAACAAAATAGTAAAAATTAAAGTACAAATAAAATAAAGCGCTTTCGACCTGGCTTACAATTAGGTATATCGTATATATATATAGAGACTTTATAGCAAAGCAGGATGATGGTAAAACAATAAAAAAAAAAGCAGCGATCGGTTAATTTATGACTATGAAAAAAAAAGAACAAGCTATTGCTATCTCTCTCTTTTCGTAATGACTAAAAGTACAATTTACAACGTATAAAGCGTTTCACTATCACTAAGGGTAGGGTGTTCGGGCAGTGGGTATATGCGCACAGGAATGGGCGGTAGGGTGTACGGGCGTCGGCTTAGGCGAATTAAATACATTGCGACTAAATGCTAAGACAAATTTACAAAATACAAACACACGCCGACGGCATTTGGCTAATCGGCATGCGGATGCGGATGCGAATGCGAATGCGGATCTGTTGACGGATGCTCCTGCAATTGTGGGCTATCCGTGAGCTGGGAGGCAGTGCTGGACGTCGTCGCCGGCGTCTTGGGCTTGATCGCCGGGCTGCTGGCTGGGCGCTTGATGAGCAGCTTCTTGAGGTTCTGGAAGGGCGCATCGAAGAGCACCGTTAGCGCTACGGAGGCCAGAAAGATCGAGATAAATTCGTTGGTATCGAGCTGAAAGAGTGGAAAAAGAGGAGGAGATTAGTGATTTATTCCCGAATAAATAGATCAAGCATCTACTCACAATAATCGAGATAAAGTTGTAATAGTGATGTATGTGACGTCTTCGTCCGACATTGAAGAAGAAGACGGGGAATTGGGTGAGGTAAATGGCGTAGGACAGCTTCGTGGACACCTGAAAGCCGCGCCAGCTGAACAATCTGGTTAGCTTATCTGTATTACGAGAGACAGGGTATTGTTTAGTCGAGCAATGTGGAGGGGCTGCATGCCAATTCACTCACTCTTGTAGCCATTGTGTGAGACGAACACGATCCAGGAGAAGAACAGGCACCAGGCAATCGGAGCAAAGGCTGCATAGATCGCCGCATGGGTCGAGTTATAGACGTAGCTAATATGCCCCATCGGGGCGGGTCCCAACAGGGAGGCGAGCACACAGACGGTCGCTGCCAGCCAGCCCAGGCGCAGCTGCAGGCGACTCAGCTGGACGCCTTGGTACTTGCGCAGCGCGTAGCCCAGCAGGATGCCCATGATGTAGACCGTCGAGCGGTGCGGGGGGAAGGAGTACATGTAGTCCGCGGTACGGAACAGACGCTGAATGCTGACGGAGACAAACAGAGAGAGATAGAGAGAGAGAGAGGTCAATATATAGTATAGGAAGGGAAATCATCAGCAATATGTATAGGGTTAACCGTTACTCACTTGGTGCCAAAGTATATATAGTTGGAGAGCTGATTCACAATGGTCGTATAGTAGCGGGCCGCCGTGCCTATCGTGCAGAGGAACAGCAGGGCGAGCAGGCCGCGACGTGGCCAGCGCCAGAGCAGGAAGATGAAGAGCGGCGCCACGGCAAACAGTTCCGTATCGATGCCCAGATGGTGGGTGTGGGTGAGGCACATTTCGCTGAAGCCGAAGTAGTTGTGGATGAAGAGCAGGTTGCGCCACCAATGCTGCTTGCAAATGTCCGCATGATGCCCCACCACCAGGTTCCACTGCGGTCCGGAGCCCCACAGGGGCAGGACATAGGTGCAGAAGAGTATCAATGCAGCCAGAGGCGGCACGATGCTGGAGAGATAAGAGAATTGCAAAATATGAAAACGATTCCAAGTAGTCGACTAGCAAATACCCTGCCATGATGAGTAAAGTATGAAGTCCTCCCCACTTACCGCATCAGGCGACTGATGTACTCGTTCTTCAAGCGTATCGGCTGGTGCTTCATCAGTCGTCCGAACAGCGAATAGGACGTCAACATGCCGCTGAAGAGTAGGAACGGGTCCGTGTAGAGGGAGGCGGCGCGTCCGATGACCGTCCAGGGCTGGCCCAGGCTCTCCGACATGGCCGTGCGATTGTTGTACGGATTGAAGAACATGGCCATCGACTTGTGCGAGAAGATGAGCATCATGGCGTTCAGGAATCGTATGCCATGCACGGCCTCGATGTCGCCTGGCGAACTGTTCGTGCTGAACAGCCAGCGCAGATTCTTGTCCAGCGAGAAGGCCGTACACCACTCATCTACACGGATATACAGTGGCAGCATATATAGTATCGATGTAAATAGAATCTGATGGCCTGCTGCACTTACTCTGCTTCGCCTGCGTCTTGGTGCTGCGATCGTACACCGTGGAGAGAACGGCCACGCAGAGCACCAGCACAAAGAAGCGCACCGCCCAGGTGGTGTTGCGGTCCCAGGGCTGGGGATCGCGCACCTGGCACATCTTCGGCTCGACGCGCACTTGGAACGTGATGCCCGTGGCGGTCGTCTGGTTGCGCAAATACTCGGCCACACTGTACTCGACGTCCCGATGCGTGCAGCCCGATGGCACGCAGATGCCCCAATTGACCAATGAATAGCGAGGCACACGATGTCCAGGCTGGGAGAATGGGAAAGAGAATGAAAGAGACGGATAATGAGTGGGTCTAGTCACATCCTGTTCACAGTATCACAGTTAATCTCGTTTTGAAATCGAAATATTTGCCAATAGGAAGGCAAGACACAGAGAGAGAGAGAGAGAGAGAGAGAGAGAGAGAGAGAGAGACATGTATGTATATAGAATATACATATGTGATATATGTGCGCATCATTAAGTTTACTGGCCAAGAATTTTTGGATTCCGATGCTAAATTTACAAGAATTTCTTACAACGCAGATCAAAACCGTCATCAAATCAGGCTTAATAAGAAATAGAAACCGCTTTATGAGGTTCACTGAACCTAAGCCGTTTGGCTGGTCGCTGATTAACATATTATGACAATCAGCGTTTTCTCTCTACGCTTTTTCTATTTAGCTTTTTTGAGTGGCGACATCAAATCGAATATTTAGCTTTGCTTTGCTCGTACTTTTCGCCAAGTTCAATGTCGAACTTGCCGCAAAGTTGTTGCCATCTCGCTTACGCCAACGACGCGGCGAAATCGTTTGAATGAAAGCGCAACTAACTATCTATCCTGAGATAATTTCTATATACTATGTGTATGCATACATATACATATGTATATGTATGTACATACATATAAATGGTGCCGCACCTAAGTAGACATACCATACAAATAAACATGTATAAGCATACATACATATGTATATGTATTGTATGTGTGTGTGTGTGTGTTTGTAACTGAGTATAGTCGCCATTATTGGCTTTAATCCAATTGCAATCGCAGTCACGTGCTAGCCGCGCAACTTCGAATGCAT